CCGGGAGGGTTCACAACTGAAGACTTGTGTGCTCGCTTCGGCAGCACATACACAACTGAAGACTTGATGGAAGAGAGCTGGGGGAGACCCAAGTGACGAGAGAACTCATGAAAGTCCCTGTTCATCCTTATTCCCCTCATGCGGTGAAACAGCATAAGCTCTTGGTGGCATTCTCCAGCCCTTCGTAAGGGGATCCATCCCATGTGCTTCCATGTCCCACCCCTTGCACACTGTTTAGCTTTGCTTCAGACACCATGGATACCAAGAAGCACAATTTTTCCAAGGCTCATGTTCCATCCAGATGTTCAGTGCCTTGTGGATTTACGATCTGAAGTGCCTCATGCCACAGCCCAGAGGCCCTGGTGGTTTGCATTATAGGACTCCATATTTCAGGTTCTGGAAAAGGGGCAGAGATGTAAGTGACATACTAGAATTTTGTATAAAAGGAACTTAAAGCTCGAGGGGCGCTTTGCTTTAGGCTTTCCTTTCTTCCCAGCATCTGGCCTCTCTGCACTCAACTCTTGCTCACTCCAACTTGGAGCAGCTTCTCCAGGGACAGAAACACCAAAAATCACCAGGGGAAAGTGTTAACATGGAGATTTCTGGGCCAGATTTAGATCTACTGCCAGAGAATCTGCATCTTAATGAGCTGGGCCCCAAGAGCCTGCATTTTAATAGGCCAGGGCTAGGTAATCTCAATTTGACCTTTTTAAAAGTGAGAAGTATAATCAGAAGGATATATTCAACAGTGTGTGTAATTCAAATTGTACTGAAGCAAACATCCGTGTGTCAACACTGCCCAGGTTAGGAGATAAAGCCCCAGCGGCCCTCGGAAGTCCCTAGCAGCACCTCTCCCATCACTCCTGTCTCCCATCGCTCCCGTCCCCCACCCCTGTAAAGCAGTCTCCTGAGTTCGGAAATACTCAGTCCCCGGCCTGTCACTAGGGACTGTTGTTCATCAGTGCATCCAGAACAGTGCACTGTTTGGCTTATCTAGAAATCAGAGAGAAGTGGAATCGTTCCTAACACATTGTACCTTGCTTCCTTGCTGTTTGCGCTGCGCGTGGTGGTTGTGCGCTTCCACTCTTGCTGCACCTAGCGGCACGGTGTCCCTCTTCAGGGCTGTGTTGTATTCTGCCATGTGAAAACCACACAACTGATCAGATCCCTCGTTCGTGGGCGTCTCTTGCAGCCCAGCCCTGAGGTAAGTCTCCTCCTCTGGCTGCTTTTGTTGAGGAGGAAACAGCGGGTCAAAGATGTTGAGTGATTTAAGAGCCCGGGTTCGACAGCCTGAGTTTGAAATCTGCCTCTGACGGCAGGGCGATCACTGTGTGAACTCAGGCACGTTCACTGCTGTGCCTTGGTTTCCTCAGCTGTAAAATGAGAGTAATAGGGCCTGTTTCCGTGCTGTGAAAATTCAGCACCACGAATGCATGTGAGGCAGCTAAAACTTTGCCCCTTCAAATACTTTCAGTTCAGGGCGCCTGGGTGGCTCCGTTGGTTAAGCGACTGCCTTCGGCTCAGGTCATGATCCTGGAGTCCCGGGATCGAGTCCCGCATCGGGCTCCCTGCTCAGCAGGGAGTCTGCTTCTCCCTCTGACCCTCTTCCGTCTCATGCTCTCTGTCTCTCATTCTCTCACTCTCAAATAAATAAATAAAATCTTTAAAAAAAAATACTTTCAGTTCATAAATGGGAACTGGGACTTCCATCTTACTTCATATTCTTTGTGTGGTTTAAACTCCCCGTGAGCATGGGTTACTTTTGTGAACCACTAATGAAACACAAACCTTTGCCCCTACCGCTTTGTACCCTTAGCCTCAGTTGCTGAAGGTCCACTAACATGCAACCGTGAAGTGACAACCAGGCCAGCGCTCACTGCCAAGGGCGAGCTGAGTCTGGTCCTCGAGCTCTCTCCAGCAGCGATGTCTGACCTGGTTCAGCCACCTGGAGGGATTCTCCGACTTCTCACTGCCCTCTACCAAAAGGGCACAGCCAGCCACACGGGAGGCAGGAGGCCACCAACGCCAGGAGGGCGGGGATGGCACAGGACTCCAGTCTGGCGATCCGGGTCCTTGTTCCACCCCTGCCACTATTTGAGGGGCTAGCCCGCATCTCTCGGAGCTGCAGTGTCCTGAGCAGTAAAACGGAGGGACAGAGGGCTAGACAAGGAGAGTGCCAAGATCTTTCTCAGTGAATTCCTTGACCCTTGAGGCTTTGGGCTAAAGCCGCTGAGGCGCTGGGGAAATCAGCTTGGAGATGGTTCTCTGGCATACCTGTCTTCCTGAGAAATGCCCCAGGAGGGGCCTGGCCTGGCTACAGGGAAAGCATTCATGGGCCAGTGGCAAATAAGGGCCATAGTGGATCCACTCTCCCCCAAGATGAGTCCTGCTGAGGAGAATGGTTGCACACCTATCCCATTGAGTCCATGACAATTAACTAACACTCTCAGTTGGAAGGCAATTCCTTCTAAAACACACCTTCCAGGGAGCCTCATAATGCAACTCTGGCTGCTTCAAGTTCTATAATCTAAGGTCACTCTGGCCCCAGCACCACGAAGGAGGCCGCTAACCCTCACAGCCTGTCCCTTCCTCCTTCCCTCGGCCTCATAACTCGTCGCCATCTTGCTGGTGAGCTGGAAGGCTAAGGGCAAGGGGCCACGTAGTCATTGGTGCCACAATTCACACTGGCCTGGGGCCAGTGCAGATAATACATCCCATCACCCTCAACGCCCCCTCACTTCCGCTTGGATGGATATGTAAAGCATCTGGGAAGTCAACAGCTGCCGCCTTCCACCCCAAAGAGGGAGGTGAGGTAATCCCCATACATAGTCAGACAAGTGCCTCGGGGTAAAAGGGGCTCTGTGTGGAGGAGAGTGTGTTACTGTATTTCTCTGGACTTCCAAGAGCACTTCACCGATGGCCTGGCACTGAGGAGCGACGGGAAGTTAACTGGGTTTTCTCGTCTCCACAAAAGCATCTTTCATCCCACAATAGACCCCATATTGGAAGGAAGATTTCACTGTACAGTGACCAGAGACAAGAAGCTCTGGTGAGGTCCCTGGCCACCCCACCGCCTCCCACTTCCGAGGATTCCAACCGTACTGTGACCCTGAAGGCTCAGGAGACAGGCACATAGAGTCTAACAACGGCAATGCTAGGAGGTTTAAGGATGGAGAAGCGGGGTGACACTCAGCTGTGACTGGCGTTGGCCCTGAAAGAAGAGGCAGTCACCTGGGCGCACGGTGCCTGTCAGGGGGGCAGCATCCATGAGAAAGGTGGCCCCGGTCTAGTCTTTAGCAGGGAAAGGGCAGGTAGAGCTGTCCTGACTGAGCCCGCCTAAGTGTCAGGCACTCAGTAACCGTGGGGAGAAATGAAGCTCGAGGCGCACGAGGTCGTAGTGGAGCCTGGTTCCCTCCAGACGGCCCGCCCCCCCTGCAGCCCCCCGGCCGCCTCCGAGCCCTGGTGCTTACCCGCAGCACGCTCTGGGGGAGCACCACGCCGGACAACAGTGCTTCTTGCCATTTAACTTCACAGAAGGTGGCAAGGGCAACGTCGAAGTCAGCGCTGTTTTTACCTCTCATCGAAGTTCAAAATGGCCGGGGCCCACATTTCCAGCGCCATCCCTGTGGAACGGAACCAGATCTGGGGGCAGTTCCCTAGGGCAAGCACAGGGTCTAAGATGGCCTTTTGTCCTTTTCTTGACTTGGAAATTCTTATTACATAAATATTACTTCTCAAAAAAATTTTATCGTACAAAAAGTCTATACAATAACCATTCTCTCTAGGCGTGCGTCACTGTACTTGTTCTTCTGTATCCTTCAAGACCTAGGCATATCTGCATATGCTCTTCTCTGCCCCCAGATGGCTTTCCCCCAGAAACATTACAGAGTTGCATCATGTACATGTTTCACTTTTGTAAAGTTAACTATTTGTGCCAGGGTGGGTCATTCCACTAACCAAGAATATGCCCAAGAAGTGTGAGCAGGGAAAGCGGGGTACAGTTTCAGTTCTCACGTGATTTAAGTGTTTAAAGAAAGCACTTTTCCAAGTCCCTAAATTCAAGGCAAGCACTTCATCTGGAACTCAAATAGGGACACGGGGATCAGCTGCCACACTGAGGGACACGGGGTATGCTGTTACAGAAGAGCATGTGGGGCTCCAATAGGAGGTAATAAGGTATTTAAGAGCATTCTGGGGGCACCTGGGTGGCTCAGTCGGCTGAGCATCTGACTCCTGATTTTGGCTGAGGTCATGATCTCAGGGTCATGAGATCGAGCCCCACGTCGGGCCCCACACTCAGCTCAGTCTGCTTCAGATTCTCTCACCCTCTCCCTTCTGCCCCTCCCCCCACTCTTTCTCTAAATAAGTAAATAAATAAATAATTTAAAAAAGGTGGACTAGATGCCACTTTGTCTTAAGCTTAACATGGGCCCCAACCCCTAATAAGATGATTCTACTGGTCATGACGCTGTTCAATTTTTTTTCCATTTAGGTGATCTTGGGAGTTGTTCTAAATCAGTATCTATAGATCTGTCTTGCTCTTTAAGTGCTTACTTCAAGCTATTCCATAGCATAAATGTATGGGATGTTCTCTGGAAAGAGCTCCATGTTTACATCACAAAGGAAAGAAAATAAACTAAGAACAAATTTACAAACCAAGAATATAGTATTTTATTCATTTCTAGATTATGAGTATTACACAGCATATACATACATTTAGATAATATATAAAACAATGAACAAACCGTAGGAAGAAATATTGGTCTGAAGTTGCCATATGGGACATCTTTAAATCTGTAAGTTGGTGGTTAAGTGTATCTCCCCACACACTGAGGCAGGCAGCACGATAAATTCCAGCATGTTCCAAAGGACAGCTTACCCCCCCCACCGCAGTTACAATGCAATTATCGCAACATGGCATGGTCACTGGTGTCCACAACAGGGGACACCAAGTAATAGATAAAAGAACCACAGCACATTAAACGAATAGAAATATTTGTTTTTTGCCTTGTCCTCCGGATAGTTTCCTTTTTTCAACTAAGAGTCATGTCCAGGGGCTATCCCTTGAGTTGCATTCCGGTTATTGCTGGAGAAAAAGAAACAAACAGAAGAGGTATCAGTTTAAGTTATCAGAAAATAGATGGTCAGTGCCATTAACCGCCCCCCTCCCACCTCTGGTGACACCGGAGGGGATGCTGGGCTGTGTGGGAACTTGTAATGTCAGCAGCAGTCAGGCACGTAAGTGGCCGCCATTTTGTCAGAGGAGACCGATGGGTTGCTAGTAATCTGGGGCTGCTAAAGAGGCTGGAAGAGGCTGGAAGACATTCTCCAAGGAAGGCCTGTGAGCAGGAGGCAGGGAGGGGCAGGACCACCTCGTGGAGGTGGAGACAGCAGTAACAGAACATTTCACAGGGCTGATCCTGATTCAGTGCTGATGGTGGAAGAAGACCTTAGGAAGATCTGAGGATGAAAGGGACTCCAGCCCCTAGGTGGACATGGAGACGCTCTGCAGCTGGCCTCAGCAGAGCGCACTTCCCGGCTGCCCCAACTCACCGCCTGGCCTCCCCTGAGGAAGGCCGGCTTACCTTTGCTTTGTTCTGAACCGGGAGATACAGTTTGAACTCTGCTGGCAGTTCGTCTTCTGAGTAGAGTCTGTCTGAGAAGTAAACCCGTCGGATGCGACAGTTTGCATGGATCTGAGGATGCAAGACTTCTTTTAAGAAACAAAGCAAGAGTGGCCTTCCCCTTGTCCTGCTTCTCCTGGAGCCCCTCCCATGACGCTGTCAAAGCGTCATCTCTTTGGCGTCTCCTGAGCATGGCTTAGGGGTGGGTTCTGGCAATAGGGATATTTTGCTTGCCATGTTCTCCCACTGTATCTGAGCACACACCTGATGTGTCCTGGACCTCTCTGAGCCATCTGGACAGTGACTTGGGCACTCAGCCAGAAAGCCACACTGTCCTGCCACAAGGGCCACAAGCCAGTAACAGGCAGAGAAGACTTCCCTCTCCCGTTTGGGGCTCCATCAGAAAACGAGCCAGCCAGTACCTGCACTCTTAGGGTCTCGATATAATTTGTGCCATATGCCCGCCTAGTGAAGTCTGACAGATTGAACTGAATCTGGTTCCAGCCATCATCCAGCCGCATGGGCATGGTACAGATGAAGGGTTTGACTCGGGTGGTGCTCTGGTAGTTACTTGCCCGAAACCGCCGACGCACATTCTTGTCATCTAGTACCTATGAAACACAGAAAAAGAGCCACATTAACCCTACCTTGGAAGAAGCAAACAACCTTGGGGAGGCAAGGGCCTGAACTCCCACAGCCCGGTTTCCCAAGGCTGAGGCCCAAGGGAGAATAAACAGACCAGATACAGGTCACACTGGATGCAGATGGCCCGGAAGTAGCAAGTTTATCTTGTCCGTTGCTGAGACAACACCAGCTTCTTAGGACACATGACACAGCCGAGGGCCCACAGACCATAGAAAGACTTCATAAACGTTCTCCCATTTGAAAAATCACAAATATTAGGACAGAGATCAACAATAACCAGTATGGAACAGACACTACTCTAACCTTTAAGCTCTGAAATCTGATAGCTATCATTCAGATTTCCTAGGTGCTTGCTGCTGCTTTAAAGACGGCATGAGGGGCGCCTGCGTGGCTCAGATGGTTAAGCGTCTGCCTTCAGCTCAGGTCATGATCCCAGGGTCCTGGGATCGAGCCCCGCATCGGGCTCCCTGCTAGGCAGGGAGCCTCCTTCTCCCTCTACTATTCTCTGTCTCTCTCTCTCTCTCAGACTTTCATGAATAAATAAATAAAACATTAAAAAAATAATAAAGACTTGGCATGAAAGTCTGATTACTAATACCAAATTTATGTCATCATAATAATGGCCGTATCAAGTGTCTAGCAGAGGGAGAAGACACACAAAAGAATAAGGACACTTTCTTAGAGCTACTTTCCTCCTGCAAGTTGACAGGTTATCCCTCTGGGAGAGCTAAGAGTATACACAGTCGTGTGCATCTACTAACCTGTACTTCAAAGGTAAAATATTTCTTCAGATTTTTGATAATCATGACGAGGAAGGGAAGTTTAATCCCCAACGTCTTCTTTGGGTCTGCAGGACACGTGATATATGTGGTGCTGCAGAGAGAGGAGACACTAGTAAACACACCAGTTGCCTTTTCTTCTGTGGTATACACCGTGAAAACACTCGGTCCAAGAGGTAAATTGGAGAGTAGATCTAAAAGATCCAGACACATCATCCAATAATCCCTCAATCCGGATGCTTTAAAAAAAAAAAAAACAAAAAAAAACAAACGATGGTGGACTCTGAAACACAAGCTTCACACAGAACTATATATCAACGAGAAAATACCTGACAAACAAAGCCAGGCTGGTGAGCTGAGCAATTTCCTCCAGTGAGAGAAGACTCCCCTCTGGTCTAAGGGAGCCAGCAAGTGATAGAAAACCCCAACTAAGACCACTGTGGCCCAGAAAACCACACTGCGGCCCAGGCCACCCACTGGATGATTAGTGCCGCCCCTCCATGCATGTCCACCAACCTTGGTTACATATAATAACATAACTAACACAGAGCACTTACTATGGGCTGAGCAGGAGCTAAGCGTGTTTATACACAATTCACTTACTTAATCTTCACAATAACCCCGTAAGGAAGGTGTCCTGTTATCCCTATTTTACAGAGGAGGAAACTAAGGCCTGGGGGATTAAGCAACTTGCCCAAGGCAAGGTGTGAGCAGCAGAGCTGGATCCCCAGTGGGTGGTCGGCCCTGCAGTCCCTGCTATTAGCCTCCATGACGTACTGCCTCACCGGCGCGGGGGTCTCCGGGAGAACGGACAGGCTGCCTACCTGACATTTGTTCCTTCAATCTCTAGCACCAGGGACTGGATGTCGTTATCAGTGATTCTTTTGATGTGGCCATTCCGCACCTACAATGAAGAAAATGAAACTGATCAGTACTGAAATATTTGGCAATAACCTTGTCAAGATTGTGAAGGCCGAATAGACCATTTAAAGAAGACCACAGCAGCCACTGGGGCATAACACAGATCTCTGTGACATGGGAGACTGAGCTTGTATGGAAGTAAGCCACGATGTTACCTCTCTATGGGGTCCCATCAACCAGTACAGGAATTGCAGGTGACCTGGCAATCTGTATGTCAGGATAACATTGTAGGCACTGTGCACCAGGGACATTCTTATATGTTCCCTGACTAATCCTAGCAACAACAAAAATCTTCAAGGTAGGTGGTATTTTACAGATGTAGCTGGTATTTTTCTCCTCGCTTCTGCCCCAGGGTAATGCAAATGAGGATCCTGAGAGTCAGGTTAAGGACCAGGCTTTCCACGGCCCCGCGCTGCCTCATGCACTCCGGCCAGAAAGGCTGAATGCTGGATGCCACCGAGGAGGAGATGGGCAACCAAAACATGAAAGCATAACACCCCCAGTATGAAGCATCATTTCTATCTTCCACAATGCTTCATACTGTGCTCCTACTTCCTGCTTCCCTACCTTCTGTTACCTAAATTTTAGTTTTTTGAAGTTTTCTTTTTTTTTTTTTAATTAAATTCAAGTTAGTTAACATAGTGTAATACTAGTTTCAGGAGAATTCAGTGAATCACTGAATTGGTGGGATACAACACCCAGCGCTCATCACAAGTGCCCTCCTTAATGCCCATCCCCCATCTAGCTCCTCCCCCACCCACCTCCCCTCTAGGAACCCTCAGTTTGTTCTCCATTGTTAAGAGTCTCTTAAATTTCAACTTTCTTGGGCGCCTGGGTGGCTCAGTTGGTTAAGCGACTGCCTTCGGCTCAGGTCATGATCCTGGAGTCCCGGGATCGAGTCCCGCATTGGGCTCCCTGCTCGGCAGGGAGTCTGCTTCTCCCTCTGACCCTCTTCCCTCTCGTGCTCTCTATCTCTCATTCTCTCTCTCAAATAAATAAAATCTTAAAAAAAAAATTTTCAACTTTCTAAAGTAAGAATTCAAGTCTCATCTTTGCCATACACAGAAGCCCTTCTTTGGCATTTCATCCCATACCGACCTCTCCTCTTTCTGATTTGTTTGTCTGGCTCATGTAGCCTAGAGGACATAATTTAGCACTTCATCCCACACTATTTTGTACTGTCTGCTGCCTACGTAGGAGGTACAATATGGGGAGGGATCAATACTCAATACGGATTTCCCTTCTCAAAATAATTCAGGAAAGCACAATTACCTTCAAGCTCTAAACTCTGAAGCACCTAATATGGATAGAGCAGAGACAGGCACAGGCATTTTTGACACGGGGCTGGCCTATTAGGGCTGAATGTATTCACACATGAAAAAGATCAAGCAGCTTTAGAACAGTATGCACCAAAAGCATGTAGTCTTTTTCCAGGTATAGTGAAAATGGCTGTATCGGCCTGTCATAGTCAATGACTCAAACCTTTGGCCTTCCACTGGGCTTGCATATAGAGAGCACAGTGCCAAGTCTGACAGATAGCTGTATTTTTCAAAACGGATTAATAATAATATGGCATTTTGTGTTTAGACCTCAGTCTCTGTGACCTCTGTTATTATGAATTTGATCCACTTGTGGTGTGCTTGGTGTTCCCATGTGATAGGTAATATCACTGCCCATCTTCTTCTGCAAAATGCAACTGAGTCCTGTCTCCTCAAAAAAGTACTTTAAGCTCAAAGGTAGGGATCAAGTATTAAGCATCGTTTGTGTCTTCTACAATGCTTAGCACTATGCTAGGCATAAACTAAGCATTCAAATATTTGCTGACTTCTGGAATTTGTCACCCTGAGAGTTGGCAAGGATGAATAGATTCAAGGAGGATTTTTTAAAAATTCCTGGATAACATATCCACTATGGACTATTATAGGAAGCCAGAGAGCCTGGGGTATATCACAAAGCCAAGGAGGCTGCCAGTGTGAAGAATGCTTTCCCACAAATCAGCCTTTGGTACCCATTATCAGAGACAGAATGCATGGTGGATGGGCCCCAGATCTCTGCCAATGCAGCATTTCTTAGGTTCTTAAGACACAAATGTCACATTGAAGTGCTTCTCAAACAAAGCTGGTGACACCCAATGCCCTCCTGCTTCGAATTCTGGGCCGCTTTCCCAGGGAGATTAAGAGCACAAAGCCTTGGGTCTGTGTAGCACATGCCAACACTGCCCACCTCATCCCCCACATAAACACTCTGGACCAAAGTGGCAATATTCCTCCTCTGTTTGCTAGCCCACAGCTGCTGGGAAAAATCAGTCAGACTTGTTGGTGAAGGAGGAATCAAACGAGAAATTATTTCCAAGTAACATGATGCAGTCACATTGCTAAGAGCCGCCAGTATTCCAACAAGATGCAAACACTAATTTTATGACATACTGCTAATTATGCTAATATAATTATAGTTATACCTAATATAACTTCATTCTTTCTTTAAAAGGTACATAATGCTGGCACCTGGGTTGCTCAGTCGTTAAGCGTCTGCCTTCGGCTCAGGTCACGATCCCAAGGTCCTGGCATCGAGCCCCGCATGGGGCTCCCTGCTCAGCGGGAAGCCTGCTTCTCCCTCTCCCACTCCCCCTGCTTGTGTTCCCTCTCTCGCTGTCTCTCTGTCAAATAAATAAATAAAATCTTTAAAAAAATAAAATAAAAATAAAAGGTACATAATGTAACTATCAAACAGATGGTTAACCTGAAAAGATTAAGGGCTCAAGGACAACTAAAAGGCAACTTGTTGCAATTTACCCAATGCTGCTTGAAAGCATGGCCTCAAATCTTAAGTCTCTCCCAGTACAGTGAGAATTCTCTCTCAGCTCCAGAAAGCCCAGCCAGATTTCATAGGGAGGAAATGTTAGGAAACTTGCTTCTGCCCATCTCAAAGTTTATAGCAGATGACTTCACTCCAGCAAATGCAATTATTCAAGTCTTTACAGAAGAAAACAATGCCTTACACTGCACGCAGAAGCCAACAGACTGGAAGCCAAAACAGACTTGGTATATTCTCCTCTGCTTCTGCCCCAGAGGCAAGCTCATTTTTAGCTAGATTTTCAATAACTTCCTAAAGAGAAATTTCTCTCAGCAACACATCAACCACCACACTCACAAACTTAATTCTTACAAAATTAATTAACGTAGTCCATAAAACAAGAGAACTCAGGAAAAAAGGCAGCTTTTTCAAAGGAATGCCCACCAGTCTCTCTGGAGCTTTAAGTATTCTCATATCACCAGCTGCCAGAGCTTTGAAATCAAATTAAGTTGATTTGTTAGTGAAGTATGATTTTTCTCCTTTATTAAGTTCACAGGGCTACAAACTCATTGGAAAAGCGGGGTGGGGTGGGGGTGCAATCAACCAGAGATATGAGCACTTAAAGGAAACCTCCCAAAACCTCTCTAGGCTCTAAAACTAGGATCAAAGGGAAAAGGGGGGTGGACAATTTGGGGCAAGGCCTCCCAACTTCCCTGGCAATCTGGCTGTCACCACCTTAAATTGTAAAGGTCTTCCAGGAAGCCAGCCCCTCCTCAGTCCAGCTTCTGACAAACACATATAACAAGATACATGGCCTCAGAAAGCAACGACTTCCTTTCCTTAGCTCCTTCTAGTTCAGAGGTCGCTAAGCAGGCCTGGCTTTGAAATGCAGATAAAATGAACTGGTCAGCATTTATTGCTTACGGTAGAAGTGGGTTTTATTTTACTTCCCTCTCTAAATGAGAAAGTGCCAACTGTTTTTGACTTTTCAATTATTTTTTATTTCATGACACATTCCCACTATCAAGGTGTGAGTTACAAGTGTTTAATTCCTACAAAAAATAAACAAAGCCAATCTTTTTTTTTTTCATGAACTCACTATCCCCACCTACCCACCCCACCCCCCAATTGCCGTCCCCAAGCTATGAGCTGCAGAACCCCAGGCTGCTAGCTATTACAAGTGAGAACGGTTCTCAGCCTCTGCAGACACCAGGAAGGGAACCTTCAAGCCCTTCTTGCAATCACTCTCCCAGGCTTTCCATGGTTGCTGGGGCAACTAATAAAGAACACTGATTTTTTTTTTTTTTTTCAATGTAAGCTCCAGGGAGGAGGGTCAAACTGAGGGGAAAAAAGTACTCCTGGGATAGGGAAGCTGGCCAATGCTCCATATTTCTTCAAGTGTTTTAAAAATAACACATGAGTTGTATGCATTCCCTACCCCCACCTTTCATTTCTCTGGCTCCACCCACTTACCCTGGCAGACAGCTGAGCCCTCAGCCATCTGGCATCCTAGTCTTAATGACACATGTTCCAATTTACATTAAGCCATTAGAGCTGTCCATTTCAGCAGGAAAGATTCTGCCCGCAGCTAGGGGCTGGGATCTAAGTCTGAAAACAGGCAGAGGGAGACCTCTGTGGGGAGAGCTGGGCATAGCTCGGTCTCAAGGCTTGGGCTTTGCACGCTCCGAGTCAATTAAGTGCATTGCTAACCAGTCTTCCTAGCAGCAAAGCCTTGCAAGGGCAAGTATAACTAAAACCCATGCCTTCGCCCAATTATAGTAAAAGCTGTTACTCAGAATAATAAACATCATCAGACTGATCCAGGGAAAGTCTGGAAAAAAAAAAAAAACAACCAGAAGTTGTACTACCTTCCCATCCAAACGCCCTCGACTCTGCTCCTGGAAACCACAGCAGTTTAACAACATACCAATAAGGTTTGCTAATTAAAAACTAGGGTGTGGAAACTACTTTTCTGGAGACAATTCATTTTTAAAACTGGGAACAGGGAAAATAAATAAAATTAGAAATGGGGAATGGGAATCTAATACTATCCAGCAACAACCACAAAAGTCTGGTTCTAATATTTAGCTTTGGAACAGGTGAAGATCAGCAGCAGCTGAAAGACAAGGTGAGAGGTGAGAAAGGCAGAGAAGCTGGTAGGAATTAACATTCTCATCTAGTAGACTTTTAGTATATTAGACTTATATTTATATGTTGAAATACGAAAATTGTATGCTTTATACAGGCATAGATGGGAAGAGAACCATCTGGTATTTTCTTTACAAACCAGAAGTAATGTCTACATTAAATATAAAAGTCCTTTAGTAAAAGTATTATCTGCTGGTCCCAGAAGTTAAGGGAACATCAAGAAACCCCTAATTTCTCCTAAGCTGTTGGTTTGAAAAATTAGCCGCCTTGGGGCTCCTGGGTGGCACAGTTGGTTAAGGTCTGACACTTGGTTTCGGCTCAGGTCATGATCTTAGGGTCGTGGAATGAAGTCCCACTTTGGCCTCTGGCTCAGTGGGGAGTCTGCTTGAGACTTTCTCTGTCTCTCTCTCTGTCCCTCCCACCACCACCCACCCTCCCTCTCTTGTGCTCTCAAATAAATAAATTTTTTAAAAAAATTGCAGAGGTCTTGGGGTGCCTGGGTGGCTCAGTCGTTAGGCATCTGCCTTTGGCTCAGGTCATGATCCCAGGGTCCTGGGATTGAGCCCTGCCTCAGGCTCCCTGCTCAGCAGGAGGCCTGCTTCTCCCTCTCCCACTCCCCCTGTTTGTGTTCCCGTTCTTGCTCTCTGTCAAATAAATAAATAAATAAAGTCTTTAAAAAAAATTGCAGAGGTCTTTATCAGGAAGTTTACAGTATAGCCAAGCATAGAGATTTTCAGAAGCTAATTTCAAGTATGAGGAGTATGATGAAAAGGAAGTAGAGATTCTATAAGGGGATATACATGAACTTAACCTGGAGGGGCAAGTGGATATCAACTAACTTAAACTGAGGAAGTGCCTTTGCACTGTGACCTAGAGACTAACGAAGAGGTGGCAGGGTGAGTCCCAGCAGAGGGACCGACAGGTATAGAAGCCTGAAGGTTCCAGAACATGACCTCTTTCACTTGAGCGGGAGGTCACTGCTGAGGGGGGAGCCTGGGGGAGGTGAGCCTGGAGAACCAGTGAAGCAGGCACCAGACCATGTGCTGTGTGGCCTGAGAGCCACGTTAAGGCTTTTGGACTGGGAAAGCCTGGTAAATGACAAAATTATTCTAATATCTGAAGTCTGACTTTACTGCACTTCCTATTCCTAGGCATCAGTTATAGACTTATTTACTCTTGAGCAAATTCCTCAGTTTCCTACCCTATTTAATACTTTACGCCATAACTGTTTCCAAGCATTTTATATACATCTTCATTTAATCTCCATAACCATGGGAGGAGGTGGCATCATTACAAAATGAGAAAACTGAGTAGGTAAGTACTTGCCCAAGGTTACACGGCAGAGGACAGAGGGCAGAGCCAGGACACAAATCCACACTGTCCCAACTCTAGCCCTGGGGTTTTAAGGTAAAATACTTTTCTTCCTCTTAAGGAACTTGCAGTCTAGTGGGAAATACACAATAAACTGGCAACTGCCATACAGTGTGATGTAGAGGGCCACAGGCGCACACAGGAGACGTAACTTAAGCTCCCAGTGAAATAATGTTTGAGATTTGAAGGATGGGATGGGGGCAGTGTATGAACTTCAAAGAGTGATGGATAAACGCAGGTATTACAAATGTTAGTAACCACACCCGTGAAAATGGAGTTTGTCAATTCACTGGTATCAAGAATATGGCATTCACTCCTCATGTTCATAAGGAGACAGAACCTAAACAGAAGCCAAACCTAATTTTTCCAAGATTATTTTTCACAGAAAACAAACTATAGAAATTCTGTCTTCATAACCTCGAGGAGAATAGTAAAGTTTGTGAAATCAAAACAGCAAAAATAGCCATATATACCTACTGGCAAAGGTCAGGGTCATTTGTCCATCCCTCCCTCCATCAAACTTTGCCTTTACTACAACTTTTCCTGACTCCCTGAGAGCAGGGAACATGTCTTCTTCTCTTTGTATCTCCCCAAATCTACACAGTGCCTGTGACTTAACCGTTGCTCAATAAATCTTTGATAAGTATATCAATTCCCAGTGTTTCCCCAACTGGGTTGGATTCCCAACACTTCCTGAGGACTTTGTAATATAGTCAAGAAAAGGCACACATACAACAAAGCCTATGGATCTGACTCCAACTTGCCATTTTCCTCCCTTCCCTTTTCTTGCCCCAGGGGAAAACATTCACCCCTAAACACTTTTCAGTCTAAATACGAAAAGAAGAAAATATAATTAACTTTTACTATTACAAGAACTTTGTTTAAAATGAGTGTTATTCTAAATGTTTTCTTTGCCAAAATGTCTGTTTCACTTACTCCCTGTAACCCTGCCAGTTGTTCTAATGTTTTCACACGCGTTTATGTCATTAGGGTACCATCCGACCTCTAGTGGCGTTGTTATGGGACACAGTGCACCATGGTTACTTTGCTTTTATATTCCGTGTGTAAACATGTTGACTAGTCAAAGAGCTGCATTTGAAAAATAAAAAACACTACAAAAGATCAAGCCCTGGAAGGGTTAAAATGGACAACTCTGGTAAGTTTCACCTACTAGAAATGCTGAGGCCTCTCTACTGCTGGAAGTTCTCCCACCTGCTCTGTAAACCTCTCCTAGATCAAGTCCCATTCTCTAGTTCCATTGCCTCATACTGACACTTTTGTTACAATTTCATATTCAACGGCACACAAGGTCACTCTCTTCATGCCTCCGGACAGCCCATAACTAAGTCAAGCCACAGCTGGGAAGCCATCATCCTTACAAAGTTCTCAGGTACATTCACTCCAGGTTCTCTTTGCAGAGATGTGTTTTCAGTTTACAGTGTTTATTCCAATGTGAACAAAACCAAGGAACTGAAAACCTCAGTAACGTAGGGAAAAAAATTAAGGAACTGCTTTCCTGTGTAATACTCCTGGTATTACCCTGAACTTGTGGATAGAAGCACTGTGAAAGTGGAAAGAAAACTGGTCAGATTTTTCACATAAGCATGAGGCCCAGACAACTCCCTATATTCAGATCTTTCAACTATCTTATAAAAATGACATTAAGAACACACCACCCTCAAAGCTGCTTTGGAAATGCAGAATTCCCTAGTGATGACAGGCAGAAGGCTATCCGTGTTCTCTCCCAATCTCTGGGTGGCCCAAAACGCTTATCTGTGGATACAGGAATACTTATTCTGAGATGAAATCCAAGATTCTTGGTTTCATTACCAATAAACTGCTTATTTAGATTATTCCACATCCATCTCTATAAAAACACCATTCAACATACCACTTCTTTCAGCTGGCCCCTAAGGAATCACCTGTCTTCCCCAGTAGAGTGCCCGTCTTAACTTATCCTTAAAAAAAAAGAAGGGACAGCAGACTGGGAATATGCATGAGACAACTAGACCATGCTAGACACACACATCCCCTATTCAATATCTCCTAAAAGACAGGAGATGAAAGAGAGGGTCATCATCTCCTGGGGTCAGTGAAAATGTTATCCAATGGATACCTCAATAAAAATAATGAGGCTGGTACTTGGCTCTGAGCTTATCACTCCAAACAAAACTTTATCACAATTTTGCCATTTTTCTGATGTAGACATCAAGCACGGAAGGCACAGCACAGACCCCAAGAAGCAATGAATGTGGAGAAGGTGCCAAAGGCCACCGAATTCTGCTTTGTCTGAGATCACTGGAAGGAAAGGAGCAAATGAATGAAATCCACACATAACTGCCTTCTGGCTGTGCCCCTATAAGGGAGCCTGGAACAAAGGCTCTGTGTCTTGCGCCCAGCACAGTGCCTGGCACAAAACAGGATATCAGTAAATATTTGTGAAATCAGTGAACAGCAGCTTCTTTCATCTGCGTGTTCCCAAAGCAACCTCAAGTAAGTTTATGCATTTCACGGTAGAAGATGGGCACTATCGATCCCACTATATAAATGGGGAAACCGAGGCTCTGAGGAACTGACTGACCAAGTCAAGACGGCGGCGAGGGACCACTGTCCCAACCACACCACGGCCGCAGAACACTTAAACCCCAGCTACGCCCACCCCACACGCACCCCCCGCTGCTGACACGACGTCCCCACCTCGCGCCTCTGTCACGCCAGCCTGGGGACAGGTCACAGCAGCGCCCGCCTGGCCTCCCCGGAGCTCCAACTCGGACACAACTACCCGCCACCCCGTCCCCAGCTCCCAGACGAGGAGGGGGCGCGGCCCCAGCACCCCGCCCAGCCACCGCCCCCCAGCTCCTAACCTTTTTGTCCCAGATCTGCAGGGGTTTGCTGCCAATGCTGTAGAGGATGGAGAGGAAGCCGCTCTGGAATGTGTTTTTGAACATCTCGCCCGCGGCCTGGCCAGCCGCGCCGGAGCCGACCTAGATACGGGCACCAAGTGGAGAAGGGAGAGCAGGGGCCGGCCCTGGTCCGAAGATGAGAAGCTGCGCTCCTGACCGCCTGATCTGTATTCACTCGCGGCTAAACTTGGACGTTAGACGCTAAGTCCTCGAGTTTCAGCTCCCACAAGAAACACGCAACCTCAATTCGGAAACCACAGCAACTGCCGCCCGCGCCGCTCTCCCCGCCTTAAGTGGAGGCGGCGGGTCGTCCGCCGCGTAACATGGATCCCTCCGCCTGCTTGACCCGCCCCTTGAGCGCGCGGAGCCCAATCCTGCCACAAGGATCACAGACTTCCGGTCCCTTCCGCTCTTAAGCCCCGCCCCAGTTCCGCCTCCTTGTGGAAAGAACTGTGTAGTCGAGGGACTATTTTTTCCGTCGTAGTCCCCCAGAGTTGCTTTTAGAAGGCGGAAGGAGACAGAGGATTATAGAATGTGTGAGACATGCACACGGTGTCAAGGAAACGTGGCGGGGGTGGGGTCAGGAGCGTGAAGACCTGGCCCCGCCCCTTAAGGGACTGGGAGGAGTTACAAGGGCAAAAGAAAAGTGGAGAAAGGCGCGTAAGGTGGCTTGGCTAAGCAACTGCTTACCTGGTGTCCTGAGAACGTCAAATATATGTTGGCCAAGAGCAGGATAAGGTTAAAGCAGCCGACCATTATGGTGCACTCACTATGCTAAGCGCCTTATATGCATCATTGTTTTAATTATCAACAGAGTCACTGTGAATATATCGCGTTATCTTGTGGGATGCAAACCAGTGCGGTCAGGAAAATGTATTACCTGGAATGCACTAGCAAACAAGGCTGAACATTAAGATAAAAGCAGAAATTAATAAAATTAAACAAAATAAAGTTGAGTTGGTTGAGTTGAATCAACAGCTGTTTTAAATCAATTAATACTTAGAACATCTTTAAAAAGACATAAAATAAGCTCTGCTATTTCGAGTGTGGAAGAAATCCCAAATGTTGGAGACGAACTACTCCTGAGCATCTACCTCAATATTATACTGTGTGCCCAGGCCTGTGCTGGGTATTGTGGCTGACAGAAAAGGAGTTTGCTGTTAACATCATCATCAAAACAGCTACAAATGGCTAAGATCATTTGAGCATTTATTAGGTATCAGGAACTATACTAAGAGCTTTAGCCTTTACTAAATCATTTAATTCTCACAGCAACCCTGTGAACAATCTAACCAGAATTTCCAGACATGGTGGTGGTGGTTGCGGGGGGAATATATGGATCTTATTAGAGCAGAAAATCAAATTTTTTTATATGAAACTGTTGTTTTTGGATGACTTCTGGGGACTCTATATACTTTAGCCCAGTGAACAATTTAGCCCTTGTTATTAAAATTTTCAGGGATCCTGCTTTGCCTCTTTCAGCTTCTGATGGCCCTAGGTGTTCCTTGGCTTGTGGCAAGCGTCACTCCCTAATCTCTCTGCCATTTTGACATAGCTTTTCTCTGTGTCCTCTCCTCTTATAAGCACACCAATCATTGGATTTAGTGCCCACATTGAATCCAGTAGGACATCATCTTGAGACCTTCAACTTATTGCATCCACAAAGACCCTCTTTCCAAATAAATGCCCATTTCTGATGTTCTCGGTGGACATGAATTTTGAGGAGAAACTATTCAACTCACTATACTAACTCATCAGAGTGGACTTCTTTGACAACCAACCTGAAATGGCATCCCCCCAACTCCAACTATTTGTCCCCCTACCCCACTTTATTATTTTTTTTATAGAGCTTACCATCACTTCATTGTCTATATAGTTACTTATTGCTATCTCCCTTCCCCTGATTTTGTTCTTCTGGAAGAAAGAATTTGATCTGTCTTGCTTATAGATGTATTCCCAGTACCCAATCCAAGTGCTTGCATAAAGTGGGAATGCAGTAAGTACGTGCTGAATCAGTGAATCAGACCAGTGATCCTGGTCACTGCAGGCCCAGCATGGGTTCTGTCTCTTCTGGTCTCAGTAGCTCCACACCCATCCAGCCAATAGAAGTCTCCTTCTGCTCGGAATTGGGGCTCACCTATCCCATTTGCCTACTCACATTTCTCTCATTAACCATGCATTCTCCTCAGCTAAAATGGAACACCTTGAGCGAGTGTGGGCCCAAGGGCCTTGAACAGATAGCCGATCAATGAGCAAGCTGATGGAGAAAATGAGTGTTTGCTTCTCCTAACTACCCATTCTCAGTATGTCTGCCTGAACTGTGGTCAGTTCTTTCTTATGTTGGATTTCAAAGTCGATTGTGATTATGGCCTTGGCTACAGTAAAGGTGATTTGATCCAAGGTTTGGAGAACATAAATTAGTGAGTTGGCTCCATTGTAGACTTAATTTTGGTATGCTTTTTTCAGGTGCAGACTGTGTCTTCTGTGTATGTATCTCAGCACCTACACAGTATCACCATCATGGCAGACACAGGATGGATGGATGCGTAGACTAGAGTCAAATGGTCATCTCTGACATTTACTTTTTTTTTAATTAATTTATTTATTTATTCATGAGAGACAGAGGAGGAAAGAGAGAGAGAGAGAGAGAAGCAGAGGGAGAAGCAGGCTCCCAAGGAGCAGGGAGCCCGATGCGGGACTCGATCCCAGGACCCTGGGATCATGACCTGAGCCGAAGGCAGACGCTCAACCATCTGAGCCACCCAGGCGCCCTCTGACATTTACTTTTGTTTCAAAGGTAATGCAGACCAAATTAACCTAAAACCACAGATGTCTCTCACAGAAAAATGCATTAAACACTATAATTCTTTAAGATTGTTTTCCCTTCATCAACATGAAGTCATGTAATGACAAAACACAAGAAAAATCTTGCTAATGAATTGTTTCCTTCAATGATTTCTATAATTAGAATGGGGTGGATGAGTCAGTTAAAAAAGTAATACAAAGAAAGGAAGCAGAATTTACTGAGGCAGTAAAAGGATTCTGATCTGGGTAGTGGGTGAGGAAGCTCAATTAATGCAAATCAGGCCATTAAGAACTTCAGAAGCGGTTAACAATCCTAACCATCATCAAGTGAGGTATAAGATCGGGGGTGGTCTTGAAAACCCCATTACTAATGCAAGGGGCTTAGTTTGTTTACCTGAAATTTGGGTAAAATCATTGCAGAAGTATCAAACAGTACTTGACCAGCCCAGAATCTCGAACCATGAATGTATCACAGTCCTCAGTTTAGATAGGTTACCTTGGTAGGATATCAAAACATACTCAGAGATTATGGCAAGTAAATCAAACCCATGGTATCAGTAACCTATGTCAAAGTGAGGAATAAGTTTCTGATTATTGTGGTATTTTGTTATTTAAGATAAATGTATTAGAGAATCTGATACTTTGAATTTAATTTGAAATACTTAAAGGAATGTGAAATTAGATCTACGATTTTAATTTTTAAAAATGTTGAAAACATTTTGTTTATAAACACTGTTTGAAGATTTTGATTTATTAAATCTATGAGTTTAAGTTTGTTCATATTTGAATGCTTAGGAAGACTTCACCCAACTTTAGGTCTTTCCTATTAGGTATCGCAAATGTTTGTGGAAATCAGATTAAATATGTGGTTGACTCTGAAATGTCTAGGGAAACTAGATTAGGTGTACAAGCAATGTTTACAGTTTAACCCATTAAGTTTTGAGTTGATTGAGCATCAATCCAGGAATAAGCAAAAGTGTTTATATACAAAACTAACAAGTTTGTAGTTAGAACAAGATTTGGAAATTAATGTTAAGAACACAAAGTAGATTTTAAATGTACAGGTTTAATAACTAAGGTATTAGAAACACCAGTAATTGTGTTTTTAATATCTTTTCAGTGTGCAAAGTCTTTGGTCAGACACCAGAACCCAGTGGACAGTGTTCGTTCCTGTCAGAGCCCAGAAACTCTGAACACTGGCCTCCGAGAGACACAGGGACTTGCCACACACTGCAAGGCAGAGTTTATGCCCTACCCCTCCTTGCTGATCGGGATGGGAAGGTATAGCAATGAGGGGAGTAGTTGTGCCTGGAGAATCACCCTTTAGCTGGGAGCAAAGATGGAAGTTCCAAGCAGCCTTGGAACTGGGTATTCAGCTGGTGGATAGAGGACCACTGCATGCCAGCACCAGTGGTTATATCCAAAGACCATCAGTCCGACGACTTCAGTAAAAGATGCAGTGGTGGGCAGATGAGGCTCCTGCTCATCCGAGAGTGAAGTTCAAATGGGACTCTGTTGGGCCCCTGCACGTTATTTTTTTTATTTTTTTAAAATTTTTTATTGTTATGTTAATCACCATACATTACATCATTAGTTTTGGATGTAGTGTTCCATGATTCATTGTTTGTGCATAACACCCAGTGCTCCACGCAGAACGTGCCCTCTTTAATACCCATCACTAGGCTAACCCATCCCCCCACCCCCCTCCCCTCTAGAACCCTGTTTGTTTTTCAGAGTCCATCGTCTCTCATGGTTGGTCTCCCCCTCCGATTTCCCCCACTCATTCTTCCCTTCCTTTTTTTTTTTTTTTAACATATATTGCATTATTTGTTTCAGAGGTACAGATCTGTGATTCAACAGTCTTGCACAATTCACAGCACTCGCCATAGCATATACCCTCCCCAATGTCTATCACCCAGCCACCCCATCCCTCCCACCTCCCCCACCACTCCAGCAACCCTGTTTGTTTCCTGAGATTAAAAATTCCTCATATCAGTGAGGTCATATGATACGTCTTTCTCTGATTGACTTATTTCACTCAGCATGACACCCTCCAGTTCCATCCACGTCGTTGCAAATGGCAAGATATCATTCCTTTTGATGGCTGCATAATATTCCATTGTGTATATATACCACATCTTCTTTATCCATTCATCTGTCGATGGACATCTTGGCTCTTTCCACAGTTTGGCTATTGTGGACATTGCTGCTATAAACATTGGGGTGCATGTACCCCTTCGAATCCCTACATTTGTATCTTTGTGGTAAATACCCAGTAGCCCCTGCATGTTATTTTTAAAATTTATTTTTTAATTCACATACAGTAAAATGTACTTTTTTGGGGGGGGGTGTACAGTTTTGACAAAGGCACCGAGTCATACAACCATCGCCATATTTAGGATACAGACAGTTCCATCAACCCCCAAATTTCCTCCTGTTATCACCTCCCAACCGCCATGATGAATCCCTGGCAACCACAGTTCTGTTCTCCATTTCCTACATTTTGCCTTTCCCAGAACGTCACATAAATGGAATTAGTAAGTAGCCTTTTGAGTCTGACTTCTTCACTTAGTACCATGCGTCTGAAATGCACATTTTAAAAGCTTGCTGCATATTCCTCAAAGTGTTGCTCCACCATTCTATACCCACCCCTCTGCCCAGGGATATTTTATAACACTTGCCAGCCCCCTGCATGCTTACTTTTGAAGGTTTCCCAACAGCATTTCAAATATATTAAAAGGTAGCCATTTTTCATATTTAAGGTTACTTTTCCCCTGTATTTTCTTGAAAAGATCTTTAAAAATTGCTTTTGAAATTACTTGATTTGGTGATTGCGACACTTCACTATTATGAAAAAATATTTTTTTTAAGCAGATAACAATGAAGCTCATAGGATTGGAAAGACATGTAATTACATTTATTAATTTTTTATTTTGTAACTTTCTTATGGGAGCCCCAACACCTTTTTCTTTTTACAGGTCTCAAACATTCCTGCTTCCCTGGAAAGCTCAAAGACTGGGCACCGTGTCCCAAGTGCCTAACAGAGTCCTACAAGAATTCCACGGCTAAAGGCATCATGGTTCCAACCTACATCAGTGAGGGAAGGAAAGAGAAGGCTGCTTTCTCTGAATCATGGCAATGCCCTAAGACAAAACAAAACATATGGCACAGTAATTCCTTTTTAGGATTTTATCTCACAAACACAATGTACTGTGTAAAAATGTATGTGCAAATGTGTTCACTGCAGCAGTACTGGTAATAGCTCTGCTGAGAGTCTATCATCAGAGATTGCTTTGCCTGTGGTTTGTCACACACAGGGACACCACCCAGCCACGAGAGCAGGTGAGGTAGATCTATATGTGCTAACAGTGAAATTGTCACAACTCAGGGAAAACACAAGTTACAAAAAAAGAATGTATAGCCTGGTGACATATCTGTAAAAATAAAAATTGTCATGATTTTTTAACTGTTAGTAAACATGAAGGAAAAAAATTGCAAGATATACGCCAAATGTAACCACAGCTACCTCCAAAGGAAGAAAGAGTTTTCGTATGTGTGTGTATGTGACGGGATGGTGGGGGGGTGCGGTGGGGGAAGGCTTTCATGATTGACTTTTAGGTAACATTCGAATTTTTTGCCATGAGCATATTATTACTTTGGTGGTCAGACAAGTTAAACAAACATTACTTTAAACAGCCCAAGCTCAAGCAGGAGCATTGACAAGATGTGAATCGATGTTCTGGATTTCCAAGCACGTTGTGGATGAGCTTTATAGACTGTTTTTGGGTAAGCAGGTCCCTTGTCCCCTTCTCTCAAGGTCAAAAAAGCCTAAGCAAAAACTCCTCCTTTCCCTTCATTCCACTAACTCTCTCCCACCCAGTAGTAATCATCCACAAAAAAGACACTTATCTGATACGCTTGAGAGGTTTCTGGAAAACAAGACTTTCCCACGGGGAAGTTAAAGAGCACCTTGGTTGAGAAGATAAATGGGGAGCTAGCATTCAAGTTCTGCATGGCATCTAAGAATTCCCAAGTCAATCAACACCTACTCTGAAGTGACCCTTCTCATCTGGGAAGGCTCTCAAATGCCGGCAGGTCAACACAGAGGTAATGTGCCATGTAGATAAACGTGCACACACAAAGCACCATGTCTGTAGGAGCTTCGGGGGTGTGCTCATTATATCAAGGTATGGAGAGACCGTCCCCCAGAGTCCTGGGAGGCCACGAGAAATTTGCAGAGCCTTGAGTCAAAAGGGCCGCGTGAGAGAGCCTGCTTGAGAAAACCAGGCCCGCGATGCTGTTGGAAAGTCCCAAGTCCATCCACTCGGTGTCCTGTTGGCCTTACAAAGTCTGCTGGCAGTGGGCTTGCAGGCCCTCCTTGCTGGTGTCCGGGGGCCAGGCACAGTCTAGGGCTCCCACACCTGTGGAACTGCTTGGATACGACAGAGGCTGCTCCAAGGGACACTGACGCTGTGGCGACCCTGAGGGGCCTCTTTGCTTTCCCCCCACAATTGCTTCAGAAACTGTGAGTGTCCACACCTGGGTTCCCACAGTCACCTGTTCGGGACAAGCAGCAAAGACAGAAGAAGGAATATTGTGGGACCAAGTGGCTTTTGTGGGGAACTAGTGGGCGCCCCCGCACCGCGTGGGCATCGGGGTCTGCCCGGCACTCCTGCTCGTGACAGGCTGTGGGAGGGCGCAGGCCACAGCCAGAGGCAAAGCTGGGCGGCCACCAGGTTGAGGCTGCTTTGACCTCCCCGCTGCACGGCTGTCCTGGGACGGCAGGCCTGAGGGAGCTGGGAAAGGCTGGTTTGTAAAGTGGGTCTCGTTTTCACTTAACAAATCTAACCAGTGCTTCAATCGCACCCTCTCTCACAGCCGACCAGGCCGCTTTTCCTTCCAGCTCATGGGAGCTTCTGAAGGCCACGAGAAGCAGCCCTTGGATCTGGACCTGAGACCCCTAATCCATTCCCTGCTGCACGACCGCAGGCTCAACCAGCCTCCAAGGTAAGACGCTTTTCCAGAAGGGGCCAGGGGGAAGGGGGGCAGGATGGCAAGGTAGAATGAACTATGGAGACCCCAGTGATAGGAAAGCAAATAAGTGGCTAAGGCATCTCCCGGAGATCACTAGAAGTGACATTTGTTTACCGCCTAGTCACTGGGTTAGAAGGAAGGGTCAAGGCAAAACATGGCTCTCCTGGCTCGCCCCGTCTACTGGAGTCACCTGCAGTTTGCCCCATTCCCAGGAGTAGTCAACGATACCTGTTCAACTTCTCATCTCTGGTCAAGAGCTTCCTTCAAACTGGCCCTCCTCACCTCCGGGACTCCCCCTGCTTTCCTCTGGCTAGAACCTGGCACGAATGCTCTTCTATTTCACTCAGTCCTCTGTGGCCACGGGTCTCGGTTCATGGCCCCTTCCACACTGAAAACTCTCCATACATTTCTTTTAAAACCTTTTATTCAATAATATATACTTTTAAAATTATAATATGTAACTGCCCATCATGCCATAGGTTGCCCCCGTGCCCCCACTGTGGAGTCTGTGGTCGGCTAGTTACCGTGGTCTGCTGGAAAAACAGGTGGCCACAGGCTGAGTCAAGGGGGCGCAGGGGGGCAACAGTAACCAACAACCATTTTGCATACCCTTCACATTTCCCATGCTTTCTGGGTCAGGAGGAAGTCAACAGGAAGCCAAAGGCGTGTGAACCTTTTACATTCGGAAGTGAGGTTTGATATACGGTGGTGGGCTGCCCTTCGGTTGGTCTGGTTCGTGCTGGCCAAACCTGCCACCATTTTGTGTCTGCTCACGGAACGTGATCTCTCTACACACGTTAAGACGTTTGATTTGGTTCTTGTTCTGCTTATGGAAAAGTGGGAGGAACCGCAACAGACCTGGGGAGAGAGACGGGAGGAGGGGAAAGACGGCATTAATCAATCTGACCCGGAGCGAGGACAGGCCTTCACTTGCCTGTGGCTTCCTTCTCTGGAAGAGTGCTGGCAGCAGTGTGCAAGCTGGACTTTCCCATGCCACTTTGTGGAAAACCTAGTAAGAGCTAACTTTATGGTCTCAGGTTTCAAGCAATAACCTCTTCCTTCCTCCTGTGATCACCACTCACAGAGGCGGTCTCAGGCACGGTCTTCTGGGAAGAGCAAGGGGAAAGCTCCGGACATGGCGTGTGTTCCCCAAGCCTCCCCACCTCTTGGGTCCAGAACACGGATTTAGAAGCACAGAGGCCTCTTGACCATTCTGCGCCAGCCGAGCCACAAGCTCAGCAGTCCAACTCCAGATCCCCATCAGCCCTGACCCAATTTACTCAGGACATCTCGGGACTAATAATCAGATGACTGTATTTACGCCGGCAAAGTGCCAAGTCCACTAATAAACAAAGAGCAAAAAGGGAGCTCAAGTATTTTTTAACTCTCCCCTGGGAGCAGCAGTGTGGCATGGCCTGAAAACCCCGTTTCTCCTTCCATGTCCAGCCCAGTGAAGTGGGCGGCTGAGAGGCCAGCAGCAGAATTCTAGAAGCAATGTCTCAGAGATGGGCACTACAGCAAAAGGACTGTGCCTCCGGGAAGCAGTCACAGAAACATCGTTTCATGAAAACTTTCCCTGGGTCAAGGAAGGGTTCTACGTTCTTGATAAAGGCCACATGGCACAGGTTAAGAAAAGAAGGACTATTTGCCTTTAAGCACTTCAGCAACTGATTTCCAAGCGTCCAGCACCACAGAGGGATCCGTCAGGGAAAAGCACACTAATTAAAGACACCACCATCTGCCAAATGCAGACACACAATAGCGTGTGCCTGCTTGTGATGCACGGAATGGGGGCGGGGAGAGAGGTTCATCAACGCAGAGCACTCTGCCACAGAGGTGAAAGTTGGGCACTGAAATGGGCCAATCCCAGAAGCAGGTGCCCAAGGGAGAAGCAAGTACCAAGGAACCGCAGTGCCCCACTGGGACACCACTCTGGCTCCGCCTCTCTCGATAAAGCAAAGTTCCACACGAAGGTGGGGATTCACTGCATCCCCCATACATGCATCTTTGCAGTTCAAGGTGTACCCCGCCTCTCCCCCAAGACACAGGAAACGCAAGCCTAAGGTCCCCAGAGCAGTGGCTGGTCTCCCGCTTGGGAAGGTGGTGGTTATCAACATTTTTATTTATGAAAACAAGCTTGAACACGGCATTTGTCTTTTGTCTAAGGGCAGCAGGGCATCAGTCATACATCAATCATCCAGGGATACAAAGAGGTGGCCAAGTGTGTCGGAAGTGGTCACTTGGAAAGGATCACAACCCAGGCAGTGGTGCTTTTCTGCAAACAAGGAAAGAGTTGGCTCCACGGGTCTTGAAGATTTATCCAAGCTTTCCATGGGGTGTCAAGATTTCTGTCCCAACCTCTTAGTTACCATTTACAGCAAGAAAAGCCAGCAAGTGCAAAACTGTTAATTTATTGATTCAATGAAAGTTTTTTTTTTGAACAATCCCCAATACATGCAGTTCAGGATTAAGTATCACATTTGTAGCACATTGTTGAGTCTCTACACAGAAGTACTCATCTCATCAGCTGTATAACCCATCACATCACTTTCCCCAGCCTCTACGGCACCTGCTCGTAGTTGTTTCCATGAACACATCCATAGAGCTCAAAAGTATATGTTATTACTGGTTTTCTTGGCCAGATGTTGCACCACCAGCTCCCCTCCCCCACTCCCACCCTGGGGTTAGTTTTTTAAAAGCAGGACATTATGCCATCTTAGATTGATTAAGCTCGCTGACAAACTCTGGCCTCTTGTGTGCTCCTGTGGACCCTGCTTTTGCTTTTGGAAGGGCTTAGATTTCAGTGACCTTAACTCCGCTCCATTATTATCCACCCTTATTTATTGTAGGCGGGAAGTTTGCTTTTTCCTGTGGGTGCTCATGCAGTAACACAGGTTTCTAAACAAATCGTGTGGTCTGAACTGGCATTAAGGGAAACGGCTAAGTGGGCTCTCTTAGAACCATTTCAATGCATATATAAAAATTCTTCCAATTGCTGCTTGTGTTCCCCAAATAGTTTTGCTTCCATCCTTACTACAGCACCTGGGAGAATCTAAGTCATTTCCCTGAGTAGGTGTGGGCTGAGACCCACGGCCGCCAGCTCTCTGGGACTGGGCATCTGCCTCAAGGGCACCACCTTCCAGTCCCGATGGAACCACTCCAGGCATCGTGCCGATCTCAGGACCCAATTCCAGCTCATGAAGGTGGTGCCCCCTCTCTCAAGAAGTCACGCTCCCTCAAGATCTACCCTTTTCTTATTGGTTCCCTTTCTTTTAACCACCTCCTGCCTGAGCCCCCAAGGATTACAAGCTCTTCTGCCTTCTCCAGCCAAGCAGTCTGAGTCCCCTCGTTCTCTGCAAGGGAACACTGTAGCTTTGAGCCTCGTGAGCAGTCATGTGCTAGAGAATGTCTGTTAGAACTGGCGCGGCGGCCGGTGTGTAGGCGCCTGCCTCAGAGAGCCGCCATCGGCTCTGCTGTCATTGGTGAGAAGACCCAGGAATGCTTGGTCTGCACTGTCTGCTTGGCTTCTCCCACCCAGTCCCCTCCCACAGGGACGGGACAGGAGCGGGCAGCTGATACGATCCAGGGGAGAGCGAACTGCAAGCAAGCTGCAGATGAAAAGATCGCTTGGCATGTCATCAGTTCTGCTCTCGCCATGGGGCTTGTCAGCTGAAGCCAAGCCCTGCACTTATGCTCACCTGTGGCCCATCAGCCCTGACAGACCGTCTCTATTTGGCATAGGAACTTTTTGTTCTCACCATACCAGGCCTATGTTGTTGAACACAGGCAGGACCTGAGATGATAGTGTAACACTACCCTGTTCCCCACATTTTTTGCTTTTCTTTAGGAAATAACTAAGTCCTTATCATAGGCACTTTTAACCAGTTATAAGGTAACAAAGCAAACAAAATGGCTAATCAAAAATACTGAGATGAACTTAAATAATCTGCTGACCGAAAAGGGTATTGGGTGGGTAAATATACCACAGCTGAGTCTGAGAGCAGACTCCCACTCACTCCCTCACACACACTCACTCCCTCACACACACTCACTCCCTCACACACACTC